GTACAGAACTAAATAGAGATTTCTCAGTAGAGGAATCTAAAATGGCTGAAAGACACATAAGAGAGTGCTCAACATCCTTAGTCATCAGGAAAATGCAACTCAAAACAAATATGAGATACCATCTTGATCCTGTCAGAATGGCTAAAATTAAAAACACCAATGACAATGCCGGGCTGTGGTGACGCACGCCTTTAATCCCAGCATTCAGGAGGCAGAGGCAGGCGGATCTCTGTGAGTTCGAGGCCGGGCTGGACCGACATCCTCCAAAACAACAGAGAAACCCTGTCTCGTAAAACCAAAAAAAAAAAAACCACCAATAACAATTTATGCTGGAGAGGATGTGGAGAAAGAGGAACATTCCTTCATTGCTGGGTGGGAGTACAAACTCGTATAGTACAGTGGTTCCTCAGGAAAATGGGAATCAGTCTACCACAAGATGCAACACAATTCTCTATAGACCTTGAAAGAATAATATCAACTTCATAAGAAAAACACCATAGGATAGTTAAAACTATCCTTTACAATAAAATAACTTCCAGGGTACATACAAACTCTACCATGTAGCTAATAATAATAAAAATGGCACGGTAGCTGGCCTGAACAAGGGAGAGGTCTTGGATCCCAGATTGATAGCTGGGAAACCAGCATAGGACTGATCCAGACTCCCCGAATGTGGGTGTCAGTGAGGAAGCCTTGGCAATCTATGGGACCTCTGGTAGTAGATCAGTATTTATACCTAGTATACGAATGGAGGTTGGGAGCCCATTCCACATACAGGGATACTCTCTCAGCCTAGACATATGGAGGAGGGACTAGGCTCTGTTCCAAAGGATATAAGACTTTGAAGATCCTCCATGGATGGAATAGGGGGTTAGTTGAGGGCAGGGAAGAAGGCAAGGGAGAGGGAACTGGGATTGACATGTAAAACAAGCTTGTTTCTAATTTAAATAAAAGAAAAATAACTAATTAATAAAAACTCTTTTGGAAAACACAAAAATGAAGTTTTATTTAACTCTGAAAATTCAAACTAAAAAGATTTTTAAAATTTATAATTTTTTGCTCTGTTAATTTTTTGAGACACAATCTTACAACATGCTATGTAGGTCAGGCATGGGTCTGCCTCTGCCTTCAAAGTATTGGGATTAAAGGAATGCACCATCAAAAAAATTGGCATAAAAATAGACAGGAGGACTGACAGAATCGAATTGAAGATCCAGACATAAATTCATGCAACTATAGACACCTAATATTTTACAAAGATGTCAAATTTATGCAATGGAAAAAATAAAGCATCATCGCCAGGCAGTGGTGGCGCACGCCTTTAATCCCAGCACTCGGGAGGCAGAGGCAGGTGGATCTCTGTGAGTTCGAGACCAAGCCTGGTCTACCAAGCGAGTTCCAGGACAGGCTCCAAAACAATACTGAGAAACCTTGTCTCAGAAAAAACAAAAATTAAAAATAAAGCATCTTCAACAAATGGTGCTGGCATATTTGGATATCAGCATGTAGAATAATGCAAATAGATCCATTTCTATCACCCTGCACAAAACTCGTGTCCCAGTGAATCAAAGACCTCAACATGAATCCAGTTACACTGAGACTGACAAAAAAAGGAAATGGGAATAGCCTTGACTGAGTTAGCACAGGAGACAATTTTCTGAGTAGAACACAAGCAGCATGGACACTAAGAGCAATAATTAATTAATGGAACCTCACGTAACTGAAATTCTTCATTAAGGCAAAGAACATTATCAATAGCACAAAATAGCAGCCTACAGAATAGGAAAATATCTTCAGCAACACCAAAATCAACAGAAAATTGATCCCAAATATATATATAAAAGCTCAAGAAACTAGACATCAAAATGCCGAATAATCCAATTTAAGAATGTGATACAGCTCTCGACAGAGAATTCTTGACAGAGCAATCTCGCATGCCTGAGAAACACTTTACTTTTATTCAACATCTTTAGACATCTGGAAAATGCAAATCAAAAGGATATAAAGATATTCTTACCAATTCTTTGAAAACTTTATACATTGTATTTTGATCACATCCTTCCAATTATCACTGTCTATACACTATTGTTTATATAGCTGAGCACTGAACCTCTCTATCAGTGGCTCTATTCTTAAAGGAAACTAACTCTATCTTACAGTAACTATCAGTTGTCAATAGATTCTCAGTTAATGGCTTGAATTCAGATTCAACCTCTCTTTCCATGATGAGATTTGGCCTGTACTGAGCTTGTGCAGGTCTTGTGTACTCTACCACAACCATTGTGAATTAATATGTGCAATTATCATATTGTATCTGGAAAATCACTCTTCCTTATATTAATTTTTTTCCTTTGGCTCTTACAGTCTTTTTGTTCCCTCTTGCATAATGATCCCTTATCCTGGAAAGGAGGATATGTAATATACATGTCCCTTTTAGTGCTGAACACTCTCTAGCCATTTATTCTCTTCATGTCTACCAGTTGTGATCCTCTATGTTAGTCAAAGCTTGTTAAAATTGGAGCATCTTCAGTGAGATTTGATTAATTATATTTTCAATGATTTTGGTCCACTTTTTAGTGTATAGTTAAGAGGCAATAAATGCAGCAAAGGTTTGTGCATCCATTGGCAGCATCTACTCATAGAAGTTGATCATAGTACAAGTTAGAAAATCAACTTGTTTCCTGTTCCCTCCAGTCCTGAGCAACCATGACTCTGTTTCTGTGAGCTTGATTACTGAGTACTTCATAAATACATAGCATCTATCGTTTCATCAGTTGTTTGTTTTCCTAACATAATTTCTCCAAATTGTACCAGTGTTATTGCATATATTAGAATTTCCTCCTATATGAATATAGATATTGATATGCGTGTATAATGTTTGACTTATCCTTTTGCCAATTTGTGATACTTTGAATGTCATTGCCCCCCATAAGCTCATAGGGAGTGACATTATTAGGAGATGTTGCCTCCTTTTTGGAGGAATTGTGTCACTGTAGGGGTTGGGCTTTGAGGTCTCCTTTGGTCAGGCTGCATCTGGTGTGGAGACAGATGCTTCACTTCCTGATGCTTGCAGATCAAGATGAAGAACTCTTGCCTCCTTCTCCAGCACCATGCCTGCCCGCATGCCACCATGTGTCCCCACCATGATAATAATGGACTAAACCTCTGAAACTGTAAACTAATCTCAAGTAAATGTTTTCCTTTATAAAAATTGCTGTGTTCATGGTGTCTTTTCACAGAAATTGAAACCCAAACTAAGACATCATTAATAATCATTAGGTTGTTTGGTTGCTTTACATTTCAGTCATTGTTGTAAGTAAATATGAGTGTAAATATCTACAAAAATCTGATTCACAGACCTATGGATATAATGAAGTTTTCTTTTGTGCTTTTATGTGCTTTTCTGTGTTCCAAATGCATGCCTTTTGCTCAAAGATGCCAGAAGGAAAAACCAGATCCCCGGGAAGTAGAGTTACAGATGATTATGAGGCACTATTTGGGGTTTGGGGCCTGGATCATCCAGAATGGAAACCAATATTCTTAACTATTGAGCCATCTTTGAAGCCTTTTAGTATGGTTTTCTAATCCACTCTTTTTCTCTGTAAGTGATGTAAGTACTTTGCAGTTATCAATTCTGGATTACAGTGTTTTTACCAATGAAAATGACTAGAAATTGAACACTGAATTCATCAAACTCTAGTAGTAATTCTACAACCATTTTTAGAATTGTTGTCTTCACTTTAAAGTATTGAAGTAAGGGAAAGTTGCAAAATGTCTTATGAGGTGTTAAAGCTTCTAAGAAAATCAATGTCCTTGTAGAATCTACTCCAACATGGAAAGTATAACAGCTTTGTTAAGTGATTCATCTTCATTGAGTCTAGGTATTTATGAAGAAATAGTGTGTGTGTGTGTGTGTAATATATTCTGTTGTGAGGAAAATAGAATCTGTAGAAAGTGCATGGATCTGCAAAGTATTATTTTAAGTAAGGTGACCTAACCTCAGAAAAGTAAATATCACATTTTCTCCCACTTATTAATCCCAGCTTTTAATGCACTATGTGCACACCTATACAAACATACCCTTACAGGTACACCACACACCACACACACACACACACACGAGTATGAGAACAAACCTTGAAATCAGCAGGGGAGAAGAATATGGGGAACAGGTATTAAAGAAGGAAAGAAAACACTGGTGATGAAAGTGGACAGGAGTTTTCAGGGAAGAACACAAAAGGTGACAGAGGGATTGGGTAAAAAGGAAAGGAAGAATCAACAAAAACCAATTTTTAATCGAAACTGCCATAATGAAATCCAATACTTAGTGTGATGATTAAATAATAAATATTGTTAGGGAGAAAATTCAGTGAATAAATAAAGATATGAATTTGAGTTCTCAAATCTCATATAAACTGAAGCACATGTTGTATGTACTGGAGTTCCTATGATGAGTTGGGAGATAGAGTCAGGAAATAGGAGAATTCCTGTACACTTACAGTTGGACATACACCAGAGTTGAACAACATACAAAAAAAGCCCATTTATAAAAACAGGTTGCTCAGTCACCTCTATCTGTACACCATGGTACTTATGTACTGAGGGCACTGACACATACCAACACATACACACACATACATACACACATCAGATATACAGATTAACAAATTAATAAATCTAATAAAAAATAAATAATAAGAAACTAATATACTTGTGACATTAAAATGTTGAATATGATTACAATTCATTCCATACATTTGTGTAATTATGAAAATAAAAATGAGAAAATGATAAACTAATGTGTGCCAAAAAGAATTTTCATTTTACAGATTGATAATATCTCATTCATCAAGAAATACAATTTAACTTGTAGAAAACAGAGATATCTGTTTGCATATTAAGAGATCACTTTTATATCCCTACTATACTTATTTCTGATAGTACCAGCTAAGAATAATTGCATGAAGATAAACATTTTAAAATTTCTTGTTATTTTTCCTTCATGAAAACGTGGCTGTATCTAACATTTTCTTGAAGGCATCCTTGACATCTTTGTTTCTTAAGCTATATATCAAGGGGTTCAGCATTGGAATCACTACTGTGTAGAACACTGACACCACTTTGTCCCTCTCCAGGGCATAACTAGTCCTTGGCCGGGAGTAAATGAAGAGAATTGAACCATAGTACAAGGTGACAGCTGTCAGGTGAGAACCACATGTGGAGAAAGCCTTGAGACGGCCTTGGGTGGAGCGGATCTTCAAGATGGCTGCAATGATGAAGAGGTAGGAGGCCAAAATAAGCAAAGTGGGAGTGATGACATTAGAGGCCAATATGAAATACAGCACAGCCTGGTAGCTCTCCTTAACATCGCATGCCAGTTTCACAAGAGGAGGCAGATCACAGAAGAAGTCGTCGATGGTATTGTCTCCACAGAAGCTCAGGGTAAATGTCTCACTGGTGATAATGGTGGAGTTTACAAAGCCACCAAGGTAGGATGCTGCAACAAGACTGGCACATAACCTTGGGGACATAGCCTGAGAATAAAGTAAGGGGTTGAAAATGGCTACATAGCGATCATAAGCCATGGCAGCTAGTAGGTAACACTCACTGTAGGCCAGTCCAGCAGAGAAGAAGAACTGAGCCAGGCATCCAGCAAAGGAGATGCTTTTGTCTTCAGAGATGCATGTTATCAGAATTTTCGGGGTATAGACAGAAGAATACCAGAGATCCAGGAATGACAAGTTTCCTATGAAGAAATACATGGGTGTGTGGAGTCGAGAATCAACACAGATGAGAGAAATCAGGGTGATATTCCCTAGGAGACTGAAGACATAAATGATGAGGAAGATGAAAAAGAGTCCCCTCTGTAACACCAAGTCTCCTGTGAGTCCTAAAAGGATGAATTCCTTCACCTCAGTAACATTTTCCTCATCCATGATTTTGGGTATGTATGGTGCTTTCTGCAAATGATTAAATTATGGCTGAATCACCAAATGTTTTCTCCATTAGCTGTCATTCTGCAAACTGGAAAGTAAAAATACTGGGCAACAAACATTATTCATTATGAGATATATGTGTAGTGAATAGGGTGCCACTGCTATGAACTGCAAATTAGCCCATGTTGCCCACAGAGGTTAGTTACTAAATATATAATAGTGCATGCCACTTATATTTCCAACCTAATGTCTCCGTCTTTATGAATTTGTGCACTGTCCTTTTATTACAATTCTTTTATTCTTTATTTGGATTTCATAAACCATTGGTAGTTAGATTTCATAAAATAAAGAACTCTATAAATGACTTCAGAAATTAAATAACTGATGGTGATATCTGGAAAGGATGCTACTTTATTTTCCTTTATTTCACCAAGGGCAAATATAAAAATACTTTTAAATGGCTGTATTCACATTTCTGCCCTAGGATTATTAGCTATTTTTCATAAATACTATAAACTACATCCAAGTACTTACCTATATAGTATAATAAGATCTAACTGTATACCCTTGCATATAAAAGTGAAGTAAGGTCTATCTATATACCATGCAATGCATGATGCCTTAGGCTTGGCTGTCCCAAGAAAGTAACATTTATTCTGGCATAGGAGGTAGTTAATTTATTAGAGAACCATTTATTAGACTGAATTAGGACAGGGTAAAGTAAATTAAAATCTGGTTTAGTTGAAGTAATATTTATTGATAAGAACTCTATGTCCCTATATTCTAGTGTCTTTGCCACTAGAAAATACTCTATAGGATATGGAAATAGAAACCTGGACACCAACCCAGGCACAAAACCTTCTACCTACAATCTTTCTTGTCTTCTAGAAATGCTGGATATAAGTGGGTGACCAAAAAATGTCTGACTTAAACTGAGACCCACTCTGTAAGAGGGAACCCATGATCAACACTGCTTGGATGGCCAGAAACCAAAGCCTGGATAGACCAAACACCTGTTGTTGTACCAAACAAAACTGGTCTTAACAAAAAAAATATGTAATGATTCTTAATGATATTCTGCTATTCTCATAGGTCAGTTCCTTTTCTAGTCATCATCAGAGAGGTTTCCTGCAGCATCAGCTTATGCAGAGACCCACAACCAAATTTTATGCAGAAAGGGAGTCTAAATTGGAGTTCTCCATCAGGTCCCTCTCTCCAAAATGGGGAACCCACAGAAAAGGAAGGAAAACCTTTAGGATTCACAGTGGATGAAGGACACCAGGTGAATATGGCCCACCAAATCAAATGAGCAGGCTTTACAAGGGCTCACAGAGGCTGAAGTGGCAAGCATGGGCTTTCTTGGATCTGCACCACGTCTTCTACATAGATGTTATGGCTGTTTTCTTATTTTTGTGGGACTCCTAACAATGGGAACAAGTGTATCTCTGACTTTTCCTGCTCATAATACTCTTCTCCTCCTATTGGGTTGCTTTGATAAGTCCTGTATGGGGTATACTGCCTTATCTTATTGTATCTTGTTTTGTCCTATATGACTATTGTCTTTTGGAGGCCTACCCTTTTCTGAAGAGGAAACAGAGAAGGAGTAATCTGGTGGGGGAGGGAAGCTAGAAGGAATGAAAGGAGGGGAAACTGTAGTTGGGATGTATTGCATGAGAAAAGAATCCATTTTCAATTAAAATTAAGAAAAAAAGACTAAAGAGTTATGGATAAGAACTATGATTTATCTGTAATGTGATATCTAGCTTTTCTCTAACAAAATACTTAGATTCATTTTGAACCCTTTGCCTAGTCTTCTCTTTTTTAATATTTCATTCAAGCTTTTATTAGATTAATAATTATACATACTAAATGAATACTATAAAATACTTCAACAATGTATACTATTCACTAATCAAATATAGGCTCCTCTCAAACTCTCTTACATAAACTCTAGTAGTCACTGTTTCATATCCACGGTGACTGTATCATACACTGTCTATCTTCTGTTCCTAGACTATTTTACTTGTTTGACATTCTCCAAATCTGCTCTCTGAAGATGGTAGGACACTGAATATATATAAGAGTTTTTCATTCATTGGTGGACCTTTTGGTTCATGCCATATATTTGCACTAGTGAATAGTACCACAGTAAGTATGGGCTTACAAGTATCTCTCTGGTGTGCTGATCTTATTTTCTATGGGTACACAGCCAGAAGTGGGATTATTGGATCTCAGGACAGATTTCTTTTTAGTTTGAAGAGGAATTTCCAAACTATTCTCCATAATAGAAATGCTTAGTTCCTGCCACCAACATATGGAAATGCATTTTACTTCACATACATGCTGGCATTTGTTACATATTAAGTCAACTGAAGCATTTATATGTGCCACTCTAACTAGGGTAAAATTATATCTCATGGTGACTTGTTTTATTTCTAAAATTGCTAATGGTATTGAATATTGTCCATAACTGAACAAATCAGAGATTCCAGATTTCAGAAAAAAATCCATACCTGTCAAGTCAGCTAATCTATATCACATTTGCCAAAAGAAAGTATTGGAAGAATAGCCTCTTTAATTAGTGGTGTTGAAAAACCTCATGCACACAGTATTAAATCTTAATCTCTCACCCTATATACAGATATGATGACAAATGTTCTTCAGTATATATTTTTCTCTTATTGGTTGATGAATAAAACACTGATTGGCCAGGAGAGAAAGGAAGATAGGCTAGGAGACGAGGAGAATGCTCGGGAGAGAGGCAGAGACAAACTGCGATGAGACTCCATGTAGAGACCGGGAAGATAGGATGAGACAGGCATTCTCTGGTGAGATAAGGCCATGCATGAATACATAGATTAGTAGTTATGGGTCAATAATTAAGAGAGAGCTAGACAGTAAGAAGCCCTAGCCATCAGCCTAAAATTTTATAATTAATATAGAATTTGCATGTTTATTTGGAGCAAAGCAGCTGTGGGACCAGGCTGGAATGAAACTCAAGCAACAAAGATAAGTTCTTGATGAAAAATACTTAAATGTAAAACCATAAAACCACTAAATTGCACAAGAAAATTCATTAATCCCAGCACTTACGAGGCAGAGGCAAGCAGATCTCCCTGGGTTTGAGGCCAGCCTGTTCTACAGAGTGAATGCCAGGAGAGACTCCAAAGCTACGTACAGAAACTCCATTTTGAAAAACAGAAAGAAAGAAAGAAAGAAAGAAAGAAAGAAAGAAAGAAAGAAAGAAAGAAAGAAAGAAAGAAAGAAAATAAATTTGGGGAAACCCTCCAAGGTTTAGAAAAGGCAATGGTTTCTGGATTATAATGCTACAAGACAGGAAACAAGAGAAAATAGACAAGTGAGATTGCACACAATAAAGAAGTTTCTCCAGAGTTAAGGGAATAACCAATAGGAAAAAGAGGCAAACTTTGGAATAGAAGAAGACAAGGAATAAATACACAAGGTGGGGATCCAAAACATACTCAGTTATATTAATAAATAATCAGATTAAAATTAGCAAATGATCTGAATTGTGCATTGTTCTTCCAGTATGGATGGGCTGTTTGGGAATCCTGTGGTCTGTTTGGAAACACAATGAATGAGTCACTTTCTCTTTAGGCATTAAACTCTTTTTTTTTCTAGTATATTATTCATACTGCATTGTAGAATATATTTGTAGTTTCAGCAGTGCATGGTGACTCATGAATATATGCCAAACACTTCACTTGAAAGCCTGAGGCAGTAGGCCAACCATGAGTTTGAGGCCAACATATGCTACCTACTGCCTGCACAGTGAGACACTACCTAAAAAAGAAAAAAAAAAAACCTCAACTGACTATACCCAGAAAATTAAGTCATTCTAGAAACTCGTTAAAGATGCATTGACAAAAAGATGGACCATACAAATGGAACACCATGCAGCTCAAAAGTAATATGGAATTTTGGGGTAAAACACTGAGAAAAATAGGTAACTTCAACTAGAAATCCAATGCTATATGTTCTTGCTCATGTGTAGAACCTGGTTTCAAATCATTTGTTTTGTGGGTTTAACTTGGAGTGAAAATGGAAGACAGTTAACTAGAAAGAAGACTTGGGGTGTGTTAAGGGAGGAGTGTTTAGTAGATAGAAGCGCAGAGAAAGTAATGACATGGGATCCTGGGGAAAGAAAGGCTTAAGTAAGCAGGGTGAGAGAGTTGAGAGGAAATTAGAGTGTGAAGAGGAAGGCTGACCGAAAGAAGGAAGTATGAAATATCTTATCAGTGCTTACTCTCTCACAACCCAACTTAAAGCAAATAAGTGGAAAATAATCAAGCACACGCGAACTAGAGCGAGTGGTAAGACTGACAGTTAAAGAATTAATCCTTGGAGGCCTGCTTTTTTCTGAAGGGAAACAGAGAGAGAGAGGATCTAGGAGAGAAAGGAGGTAGGAACAGCGGAAGTAGGAAGAGTAGAGGGAGGAAACTGTTCTCAGTGTGTATTGCATGAAAGAGGAATCCATTTTCAATAGGTTTCTCCTTTTAAAAGTATTTTACTATTTGAGAAAAAATATATTGTATTTTAACCATATTAACTCTTTCCTCAAACTCTTCCCAGATGAACCCCCTATTACATACCCACTCATCCTTGTGTTCTCATTTCTTTTAACTCCCTTATTTCACTCAGTGCTGTCTATTTGCTTTTGGGTGTGTGACCATTCACTGAAGAATTTTAATATTTCAGAGGGCACACATTAAAGAAAATTAACTCTCCATTTCCCAGCAGCTATCAGTTACCAACACTCATCAGTTAGTGGGGGAGCTAGGTGATACCTCCTGGCTCAATGCTGAGATTTTTGTCTTATGCTGTCACAAATTTGTATAAATAGGTATACAAAACTGGAGGCTATTTTATGAAAAATTATTTAATGATAGATTAATTTAAGAAAAGCAAAGATGGTGGTGACCACTGGCAACCACTGTGGAGCTCTGAAGAGTTTGAGAGACCCATGAAGGCTCTGAAGG